AAACTGAACCTGGGGCCCAATGGATGGTCAAGGAGGGAACCAAGTCCTTCAATTGCGGACTCTTCCATGCCCAACAGGTCTTCCACAACAGGCTGGCCCAGCTCCCTAAAGGATTCTCTCTCCCCGACCTTGGCTTCCCTTCTCCCTGCCGCTCCTTGGCCGAGTTCGACCCCAGTCCCTATCTGGACGGGGGGAGCTCAAGCGCGTCGGAAGAGGAAGCAGAAGAAGAAGTGGAAGGTGGTCAGAGCGACCAGAATCTAGGGGCCAACTTAGCCATGTCCAAAGCGGGTGGACCCTCTGGCTCGGCCGTCTAAATCCCCCATTGTTCCCCCATAGCTTTACCAACACTTGCCTTTCTCTTTTCCTTCGGAATGATTTGTCGTTTTGATACAATGCTCCTATGTTGTTTAATTTTCTAGATTCGCCATGTGTTTTCTCTCTTTGGCGCTTTACTTCAGCACTCTCTTTTCTGATTTAGCTGGTTAACATGTATGTTTTAGTTTGGGCCCAACTCCTAGTCCCGGCCCGTTTACCTACCCGGGCTCAATCCCTGGATTGGCCATCGTGCCGCCCAATTGATCCAATGCCCTTCACCGTTTCTGATTGGACCTTCGCGCGGCTCAAGGCTGCTTTATCGGTTCGGCTGCCTCGAGACTTGACCGCCTCTTCGGTTCCTTCACCCTGGCTTATTTATAAGTCCCTCTGGCCTCTACTCTGCTCCATCACCAAATATCCCCCTTTTCTCCATTCTTGCCATGTCTGAAGGAATTCCTGTTTCTCTAGATCTTTCCGACGGGCCGGCTCCTTCTTCGCCGGAGCCTGCCTCTTCCCCCAAGTCAGTCAATTCCAATGACTGGGGGGGCTTGACCCTTACGAATTCTGTCGCCGGTTGCCTCGCCGGCAGTGGCCGTCAGTGAAACCGCCGCCACCACCTCCAAACCCTTATGAAGACTTTAGTGAGGCGTACGAGGCCCTCTCCGCCAACCGCTTGCCTGACGGGCGGATTGACTGGGATGCTCCATGCCCCCTCCATTCCCTGCAATGTATGGCCTGGGAGAGCTTTCAAGATGAGCACTTACCCCTCCTGGAGCATGAGTGCGCATATTACGCAAGTTTTGAGCGATGGACCAGCGAAAGTCGCACCAGTTCGCCGGTGAGGCCTTCGGTGGAGGTTGTGTTAGGGGAAGAACTGGGTTCTCCCCTACCTCGTCCCGCTTGCCGTTCACTTCCCCAGAAGACCCCTAGGCGACCTGAAGTAGCTCGGGCGGCTTCAGGATCTCCGTCCTCGCCTAGGTGATGCTGGTTGCGGTTCACAGAGAAGTGAGCCGTCCCCCGTCCTTCCTTGGTAGGAGAAGGGCGGTGGGTTTTTGCCGAGGCTGGGGGCGACCACTCCCATTCCATGCTGGGGAAGAAAGGTGGTCGTCTTGGACGGCCGGTGATCGGAGTTTTGCTTGCATATACAGCCGCAGAACTACCTTTCAGACCTGCCTGTCCCCCCTAGACCTTCGCTCGCAAAGTCTTAGATTGTTGTTTTTCATTGTAGGAGATGTATGGGGAAGTATCCTTCCTAACGTAGAGATTTTTTTCAACTGTACTGTAGTAGATGCAAGAGATTATCCTTGAAATGTAATGAACATTTCCGTGACTGTATTTTGATGTTACCTGTTTACTTACAAGTTTCACCTTCTTCTCTTTCGCATCCTACATTTGACGTTCCGGTTCCCTCGGACTTGAATCAGAGAATACCTCGCCTCTTTTGACTTAGCCACTTTCGGGTTACTTTGACCCTTGTGGCATCGCCATACCCCCAAGATCCCCTGGTCGCTCATGCGATCAACAG